AGGTCTATCTTTGGAAACAATCGTATAGGAGATCTTAATTGCAACTCAGTATCAGAGCTCAGTGAAATGTATTTGTGGTCAAAATATATAAAATATGTCCTGAACATTTGTTATGTCATCGAATCACTTTTCTCTTGCGTAATGGAAAACGTGTTTTCGCTGAAATGCATATTTCCCCGGCAAGTGTTTATAAGGTTACACATGACCAATGACTTATTTTATTCTAAATAATGCGTGTCTTACAGCTTTCTGCGTCCACCTACACCGCTCAGAGCCGCTACCTGACCAGTGCGGCCAATGCGTAAAACTCTTTCAGCCAGATGAGCAGCTCAGGTCCCACGAATCCGCGGCCATCCGCTGGACTGGGTCCGTGTCTGTGGTTTTGGCTCCGTTTTTACTCATACCCCTGACTCATACAGCAGTGCTGTGAACCAGAGCGCCATTGCTCATTTTCTCACGCAGGAATCAAATTCGGTCCGACAGCCGTCAAACCTCTTTTGTGACTGCAGCTCTTGACCATGCAACCTACGCCGGCGCAAACGAGATACACAGGAGTCTTCTGGCTCCACATGGCTTTGATTAGAAAAGCTTATAGGAATCTAGGACGTTTTATTATTTCAGAGGAAGCGCAATTAAGCGGCTAGCCAAGACTGCGTTCCCAGATCGCAGGACACCCACCAGTACTGGCAGCGGACTTTACAGCCAATGGCAAACGTCAGGCATGACGCTGAGCCAAAACCAGGTGCAATCCTATAGCGCGGACACGCACCCAGCCCTAACCCCGCCATCGTTAATAATAACATCACGCAATGGCTGAATACGGTTTGACAATTTCTCTCATGCCTCTCCGATTCCCTCATATCAGCCTGTTTTCTTGGCAAATGCTCCAGACTAACAGATTAACAGGCTCACCGCATCCACAGCTGGAATGGAAACATAAACAAGCCTGAATGTATTTATGTTATCTGAAATGGTGTATTAGTGATATTAGTTGATGCTTGTGTTTACTACAGCTCCACATACACTGAAATTCGAAGGATGCCGAGAGGACTGGCTAGGCCCCTGTGGAAGGATGACACATATTCCATATTTTTTCCACTGGTGTGTAGGTCAGTGTGTAGACTGAAATGCCTCGCCTGTCTGAGTAATCTTATCATTGCTTGAGCAAGGCCTTTACGCTTAACTGCTCCACAGGTGCTGGGTGTTGCCTGAATCCGTGCTCTGACCCTAAGCTGTACTCACCTGCATGTTGTTTTGGACAAATGAGTCTCTGATAAATGAACGTAGTCTGCTAGCTTCATACTGGTGATTGATTTTTTTCCACTGAAAAGTGAGGATTTTCAACAGAGACTGGGGGCTTTTATGCATACAGGAAAATGGGGACTAAATGCACCATCTATCCATCTTGTACCAGTTACCCATTATGGGGTGAGCTGGGAGCCTAAACCAAGACAGGGCTGGGAAACCCTGAATGGGACAGCTAGAGTGAGAAGAATCATTTGATCCATATCTGTGATTTTTAGATGTTCCATATTACTTAGAAATTAAGCCACTAATACCTTAATTTTAAGTCTAAACGATTTATTTCAATACTCCATGAGGAGGACACTGTCGAATGAACGCTGGGTTTTGCCTCCCAGCCTATCAATGGTATTCCAAACATACGGTACCATGTAAGGTCCGACTCACACTGCATGGCGCTGAGGAGGACTCCACTATATGTCGTTCTTCTTCGCCTGTCCTGCTTCTGAAGGTCGCATCCCTTCAGTTTCCCCAGTTCTCCCAGTGTCCTGTCTCATTAATGCGCAACAAGTGCATGGCAGGAAATGGCCTACTGTACCAGAAGGATGTAAGTTTGCATCCTAAAATGTGCAACCTTGTTAATATTAAGCAGTACCCAAATTCATATCTCCTTACAAGAAGGAAATGGAAAACTGGATATTTTGTGTATTATTAGTACAATGATTAGGTGATTTAGTGCTGGCTTCTGTAAATACTAAAGAATGTAGTTTGTGATGAATGGAAACAAATTGACTCTATTATTCCTGGGCCTGATTCATTAGTAGGCAAAACATACAGGTCAAAGGTCAAAACATCAACGACTGAACCATGGTTGGACAATAAACTCAAATGGAACAGAGACAGCTGAGCAGCATAGCCACATATAACTTTGATTACTTATAATGACTGAACCGCAGTTAAAAATATTAGACAAAATGTTTTGCTTGCTGATTCATTGTGGACCTTAGTGAGGATTATGGATTGGGTATAGAAATGACTAATAAAGTGATACCCTAAATCTAAGCCCTTGTTGACGATGACTGATCAGTCAGAATGTGACAGTGTACTTATTGCTGGTTTATTTATGATGCCAGCAGAACAGCATGGCTTCTGACAAAGCAAATGCAGACCAAGTGCATTGTGGGATGTTAAAACTGGTCTCCAGGATCAGACTGGATGGCTGTGCCATTACTGCCACCACCAGCACTGGAATTCCCCCATCCCAGGGCCATACATGCATCCTGAGGAGGCCAGGTGTAGACACTGTCAGGGACAACACCACCTATAACTCGCGCTGGTACTGCAAAGAGGTGGGGAACATTCAGACACCTTGGCTAAAAACAGTGTCAAACATCTATCCAAGGACTTGAATCACTTGCAGTCTGCAATCCTTCTCATTCCATCAGCGAGTAAAGGCTTCTCTCCAACAAGGCCTTCAAACACCTATTTTATGTTTCAGTTTGTTCTAGAAAAGATAGTGAGCATATGGGACTTCCAGGTGTTAGTATGAGCTCACTGTTACAGAGTCGTCTGTCGGCATGGAAACACAGCAAGCAAACGTCACCGGTAGACTAGGTTGTGTGTTGTGTGATTGCATCATGGGATACTATTTCAAGATGCATTTAATATTATGATGAAGTGCTGTCTAACAGAATAGGTGCCTGAACAATATATGTTCAGATATTCGATCGTGAGAGGACGCTGCCAGCACCAGTAGCGAGGGACACTTTCGGTGCTCGTCAGATCTTTTCAGACTCCTGGATCTGCAGGATCTCTCTCCCTGAGCTTACAGCATTTGCAGACAGTGATATGAATGAGAATGAGCACCTGAAACAGAAAGCATCTGTGGCAAAGTTGAATGGATTATCGATCCTCCCATTAATCTATAGAAAAGAGACGATTTCAGCATCCCTTCCAGGGTACATCCCCCACCAGCCTTTCTAACATCATATGACTGCTGGTGCTATATTCCCTAGCCTGCTTATGTCATCCTGCCCCCCACCCCCACCCAGACAAGTGCCCACACGAGCAGGGCCCGCTGTCGACATTGCCCCTTCAGCGGTGTTACAGCTGCAGATGTTGCCCAGACTCCGCCTTCTCGCGACACTGCTTCCCTGAGCTGTCACACTTGCTCAGTCTGTGAGTCAGGTGGCCAGTTTGTCAGCGTGCAGCTTTATTATCATCCTAAGTCCGCCAATAGCGAATGGTTCCCCCCCCCCACCCCTCCTGGAAAAGCAGTATAAAAAGTTGAACTTAAAAATGTGCTGATGGTGCGATATGCCTACAGTACTGTAAAACCTTGGCAGATAAGGGTAGAACAAGCAGCTCTTGCAGACTCCAGGTCTATAATCAGTATCCTGACGCCGTCCTTGCTGGGCACCATGCAGATGCCACTTCATGGTGTACTAGTTGCCCTTGAAATGGCATTTTGATTGTATACTATTTTAGATATTTTAACAAACTGTGTCAGGCACTTTGTTTATTTTACGGTTTATTTATTGTATATATTTCATGTATTTTTTAGATATGCACACATAAGATTTATTTTTTATGTGTTTTTGGTACTATCATAAAAATAAAGCATCGATACAGTTCTTTGTACTAAATAGTAATCTGGAATTTCATCAAAAGATCTTATTATTAGGTAGCCATTATTGTTTAGGTTAGCACAATAAATACAAGAAAAATAATATTAACTGGGAACTGACATTAATCTTTCTGCTGAACCACACAAAATAAAATATATATCATCTCATTTAAATCTTGTTCAAAAATGTTTATCTAATTCAAAGTTCCATCCCATTACCCAGCATGCCGTTCTCTAACAATGTATTTAAGTCATGAAACTGTCTCCCGACAAATGGTTCACAGCAGCAATTTTATTGTATATTTCAACATTTGAAACATTAAAAAAACAGTTATGCGAGTTTCACATAGTTTGAGCATAAATTCTTGATAATAATTAAAAATATTAAACGTAATCGTGAGGTCATTAAACTCCACGAAAACACATGTTGGTAAAATCAAAGCTGGAAAAATTATTTTAATTATGGGCTATATACTGAATTCTCTTTTTCATCTAGCTCCCTCAGCCTGTGTTTTTTCTCTGTGAAAACAGCAAATTATTGTTCATCATCTTAATGTCTTGACAACTGGAAGTGAGAAGAGGGCCAACTGGGAGTGAGAAGAGGGCCAGCATAGCAACCTGATGTAATGTACAGCATTTGTGCTACAGACAGAAATGCACTGAATCAAACATACAACCTCCTCACTTTATCAGAAAAGTTGAAGAAAGAACCTGTGAAACAAATAAACCAACAGCAGTCCACACTTTCAAAAAGCCATTTGCAACACTTACATAAAATAAGGTTCTATGATGGAATGTAATCTACTATAATCCTTTACTACACTAAAATTAATAAGGGGAAAATTATGTGGTTTTGCAAAATTTAATAGTAGCTTGATTTCTGCCATTAGCATTCGTGAGCAAACATCTGAAAATTTCCAACCATTTGACAAAAACCCAATGTGGCTGCCAAGCCATAATAATGACACATCAAACATATATATTTATTTATTAATGGTCCCCACAGGAAGTCTCTTATACCAGGAGTATACTTTAAAACATGTTGGAGTAATGCTGAAATGAAAAACAAAGTTAAAGTATTTTTAAATTAAGGAAACTATCAAGCCAGCTACTCTGTTCCTGTACTTTCTTAGTGGAGCTTCCACTTCAAAAAGTTCTCCGTTCAGCACACTTTTTCAGAAACGAAATCTCAAAACCTTTTGTGATTTATGAAGAAGCCTAGAGTTAACAATGCCGCCAGGGAAGCCTTCTCCCTAAAGGTGATTTGGAAAAAAGGTGCATTGTGGGCTTGTAGAATTGGCAGCAATGGTATAGCCCTGAATCCAGATCATCCAATCACAAGAATGCAGACGGGTCATGTGATTTTTCAGACTAAATTGATTGGTACAAACATCAACCAAAACTGGAATTAGAAAAACCATTTGTGTGGTTATGAACACGTACTATTTATTATATGTATTAAAAACAAACGCATACACAGTAAATGAGAGGCATTTTAAACCCCTAACTTGCATCCTACAGTGATAAATGTGCGATCTGTATAGTTTTATCTTAACTGAATAGTCATTAAAAGTTCCATCCACTGCAGGTTTACCGTTCCATAACCTTCATCTCAGCCAGGAAAAGACATGAAAACAAGATGCCAAAAAGCACAATGAAACCTGTGGTCGGCCTCCACACCATTGTGGATTAAATTATAAAGTGACGTTAAAAAGGGGGAGGGCTTCATGTCACCAGACTGGAAGAATAATTTAATATCCTTAATGCTTATCCTTAAAAAAAAAAAA